TGGTGTCTTGGTCTGATCCCACACTGACAGGAGGTAGGAACTATTTCAGGGGGCTCTGCCAAAAATACATATAAAGTTAAGATCTTTAGCATATTTATAGGCTATTTCTTTTAGAAAAGGGGCTCAAAGGATGACAGAAAATTTGTATTCAAATTACATACAGCTGGGGAACTTGGATTAGACAGGAAAAACTGAAGGGCCAAAATCAAAGAAGCCAAGATATCCTGACTCCTTTAGTCCCAAAAACCGTTGATTCTACATTTCCCACCCTACAGTGGTGCATGTAAGAACCCTTTCTGCTCGGTAAACACCCATGTTTTTCAAACTCCACAACCCCACTTAGACTGTAGATTGTAGACTCGAAGCCCAAGCCAAGATACCAGGGTGATATAACTGGAGCCCCTCCAGTGCAACAGAAAACATTATACGATTTCTTTCACAAGCCAAGTCATGTCATGCATATATATTATTTAGCCCACAATCACGAAATTGCCTCAGAGGTCCTCACAAACTGTACACACACACACACACAGAAGCCCTTTTTCTTTACTCTCTAAGTACAGGAAAGGAAAAAGTCCTGATATAACACTAAATAAGTCAAGACAGATGGGATAGAAACTTGATCATCAGTGCAAAATAAACTTAAATAAGAATTCAGCAATACTGACACAATGCAGAACCACTCAACCCTGATTCTCTTACAACAGACACACCTCACAACTCCAACTGCCTTCTCACCAAGAGACTTGATGACAATTAAGAAAAAATGGCTAATGTCAGCTGTTATTGGTATATTACACTGCCTGTTCCCTTTTTTTAATTGCACAACTTCAAGCTGCAGTGTGACGCATTGAAACGGCCTCATTTCACCTCTAAATCGATATTTACCGTACATGGCAAAAGGTCACTGCAGCACCGCTGGAATTGACCTTTTTCAGTTTGAAACATCATCTTCAGATCAGATTAGTCGTGAGTTCGTCCTTAAGTTCTATCAACTGTTGTAAATATGTTAGCAGGGTCGCTTTGCTGATCTATTATTTATGATATTGGTGCCCTTGCTCAATGTGCTTTCTCAAAGCTTTCCAGTCTGGTTTTGTTTGACATTGCTTAGCTGTCTGT